CATATTTTGTAATCTTGATGTGTTTTAAACCCTCGCTGTTCTCTTGTTCGTTACAGGCTAGCTTGTGGTTCTGTGCGTTCCCTATAGTTTCCTCATCTTTGTTTATGATGAAGTCGAAACTTCTACCGTAGGATCCCCGGAGGTCAGTATCCTTTTTCTACTTCATGTTCCTTCATGCCCTTTTACCAAGGTCCTTTTAAAGGGAGTGTGTTGTGACTTTACTTTGCTGTATAGTAAACCATAAGTTAGTGCAGTAAGTTTATAACTATGAGATCCCAAAGAAGTCTCTGCATCGCCGGCTAACGAAAATGTCCAGCCTGCCTGAAAACCACAGTATTTTGCAGCACAGATAAGAAATACGAATTGGTTAAAATTAGTCTAGTTTTCAGAAGTGGACTAGTAGGCTTATCTCTATGCTCTCGACAATATCCAGATTAGCGAATTCTGTAGCTAACTAACAATAAAGTAAACATTAAAGTTGCTTGGATGTCATGATACACTAAATGGCTTTTTTGAATATCATGCCTAAAATCACTATTAACTGAACTTTTTCTGTGTTTTTTTTCTTTCTTCCTTGATATCCAGGTTGGGTGGAAGGGAGACATACTACCTTGATCGATGGAGCAATCTCTGCTCACCCCCTACATCTCCACTTATTTCTCCCCCCCCTCCCCCCTGCACTTCATCCCTGGCAAGGCCACCTCGACGCCCGCCTCTTAAGACAGAAAAACGCTTTGAGCATTTTCATCACCAACTGCCCAAAGATTAAAAACACCAAAGCACTTTACAACTTTCTACATTGACCCTCCCCCCCTCCTCTCTGCCCCCCCTCCTATGATACTCTTTGCTGTGTTCTCTCACTGCTGGTGTACTAAACAATATATCTACCAAACGGCAGCTGCATATTGTGTTGTAGATCTGAATGGCTAAGGTACAAAGGGAGTGGTCTACGTCTGCAAAAGGGCCACCAGTCTCCTGCCCTCCCTGTTCCTCCCTGCTTTCTCCCCCGCACCGCCCACACCTCGTCCTGTCTCTATACTTGCGTCCCCTCTCTCCTCTGCAACCTTGCTTGTCGTCCAATCACACATAATCACCAGCTTAAAGATACACCAGTGAGAACGCACCGCTCTCGACACCACCTGCTGCCACCATCCTGTCTGTGAGGACCAGCAGGGGGGGTCACCTCCTCCGTGTCCTCCCTCCTCACCCCTCTATCCTCCTCCTCTTCCATTCTCACGGCCACCGTGTTGTTGTTTTTTTTAAAAAATATGTTGGGATACCGGGGGATTTCGATGATTTCTTTTTTTATTCCAAGACGGGAGGGGGGTACGTGAGAGCTGCATTTTCCTCATTTAGGCCCTAAAACAGCCACCCCACTCCCGTCTCTCCACACTATGTCTCCTCACAGCCCCCCCTCCCTCCCTCCTCCGCCCGTTTGTCTCTGTTTGTGTGCACGAGTGTGAACATTGTCCTTGTTAACTTAACTATTAAGTACACCCCCCCCTCTTCGCTTCCCGCCAAGTTGGTGAATACAACTCAATCTTTCTGTGTGCTCTAGGAAATCTATATAATTCTATACTGAATTTAAATGAAACAATAAAAAAACACATGTTGAAAAACAGCTCAAGAGAGACATTCATGAAAAATAACCTCCACAATATTGGTGAACTAGGAAAAAAAAGCTCGAGATATGTGTCTCTGTTTTCTGTTTTTGGTTTCTGTTCTTTTGTGGCTGTTTTCCAAGGGGGCTATTCTAAACCTGTAACAGCAGAGCAGGGTTTTAGGTTGTGTTTTTACCAAAAGAAACAAGACACCAACCAAGGCTTTCAGGTTCCTGTCGCTGCAGGTATGATGTGGTGCTGTGACGTGGTGAGTGGCGATGAGGAGACCATGCGCCTCGGGACTGTTACCGGGTTTGGGTCCAGCTCTGGTTTAGTCCAGGTCCTGGTGCGGCCCGGTCTGGCCCCGGTCTGTGTGCATGTTTGTGTTGGAGAACAGCGAAGGGCCAGCGGTCTCAGGCTGGGTCTATCTCAGATGGCAGCAAGAGATGAAAAATTCAAGAAGAAAAAAAAAACCACAACTAGTAGAACATGTGTGTCAAATAAATGAAACAAAACACCAATAAAACATCTAGAACATTTAATACAACCCAGACCTGTGTGCGTGTCTCTCTGTCTCTGTTTTTACTCGTGAAAAACTACACAACACACCATGTTTATCTGACTACTACTTAATAATCTTAATCATTCAAGGTTTCATAGGTAAAGGAATTTAAAGGCATCCATTACAATATACATGAAATACTGCTACTACAGTATTTAAGCAAGTATGAACAAAAATGGTGTTCACTTAGGTAACATCTAATTTATCTTATTGTGTGAGGCTGTATACACGTCGACTTTAACGTGTTAATGATTACAACCCCTTTGAACCTATATGATCCTGGGATAACTTCCCACGTGAATCAATACCTCAAAGCAGTGGCCATCGAGACGTCTGAGACGAATCCCGATGGGCCGGTACTGAAGTGGGCCGGTCGGATATATCACTACACCCCCCTGGCAATTTACTGGCGGTATTTACTTGCGGTACCGTGATGTGCCGGTTGGTACCCCCCGCCTTTGACAATGTAGTAGCGGTACCGAAGTGGGCCGGTCGAGAATCCCGTGCTGATTTTTAGTCCCAGTCCGCCCCTGCCTCAAAGTAATTATCTTTGATTGTAATACCATATATATCCGAATCTATTATTTCGACACATAAATCCAATATGAGGTTGTATTATCTGACATTATTTAATCCCACTAAGGTGCAAATGTGTTGATTTGAGTCCATAAAACACATCAGGAAATATGAGGATGGGATGCCACCTAGTGTTGTGAATGTATACGCACTTCAACGTGCAAACGGCATGATGTTAAAGGAGGAAGAGTTGGCAGCAGCCCAGGGTAATGCACCAAATCCTCTGTAAGTGTGTCAGCTTCTGACATTACCATCCATAAGCTCTTATTGATAGTCTTACCAAGGGAAAAATGTCTCCAAACTCATCTTCCCATATAAGAAATAGAAAATTAGTCATGTGTTCAGAAAGCAACATATTTAATTAATAAAAGCGATTTCCCAAAGGTTCCTGCAAATAAAGCAAGGTAATACATCTTAATGTAAAGGGAGCAGGCTACCACTGTTCCACAAGGGTCATTTATTTTAAATGAACCTCTTATTGCCTGACTTGTAGACAAATGAATATACACAACATAGAGCTCTATAACGTGATGATGATGATATGGTGTGTGTGAGAGGTCACTTTGCCACATCCTGTCAGCATTTAGGACATGTGAGTGAGAAGAAGCTAAAACTTTCTGGCACCGCTTTGCCCAATGACAAGTCCAGTGTCTCTTGCTAACACATGCGCGCGCGCGCGTGCACACACACACACACACACACACACACACACACACACACTTTCTGTCACTCTCCCTGACAAACACACTCACACTGTCACCCTCTCTCTAATTTCCCCTGTGCCTCTGCAGTGAGCTCGCTGCAGTGCGACTCTCCCCCGCCCCCCCGCCACCCTCCGTATAATAGAATATCGATCGCCTTTGCCGCAGTGTGTAAGCGAGTGTGTCTGTGGACGAGTGTGTGTGTGACTGGGGCCCACCAAGGTCATTGCCATGGCAACCTGAGCAAGGGGTCCTCGTGCTGTGCTGTCACTGAGCACAGGTCACAGGGGTCACGTGGAAAGGGGGGACAGGAGGGGGACCACAGGGGGGATGAGAGGGGGATTGTGGGCGCTGCAGTGTGTGCTGGAGATATAGAAGAAGAGCCACCAGGGTTGAAACTGTCCAGTGTGTTCAGACCCGAGCAGAATAATAAGGAATGTACGGACTGAGTGCTAAGGGTCACTGAGTTTACAACTTCTGGAATAGGTACGCAAAGTGAGTGAATACAACAAAACCATGTGAGTTCATTGAAGGCAAAATAACAAGAAGCAGATATGAAGCTTTCTTTACATTAAGGGTTTATTGCAGTTCTGAAAATGCAATTTAAATACAAAAAACACCCATTTTTACATAGAAATGTAAACCAATGAATAACAGATTTAAAAAAAGAAATATTTCAGGTAAGGAAACCTGACCTGAATGCTGATAAATATGCATACAGTCACAAAGATACCATATGATCATCCGATGCAAAACAACATTATTATGTACTGACCTTTAAAGATATATTTTCAGCAACCTGTCTGTTAAGTACCGTATCTGAGATTTGTTTGTGACCCCCCTGAATAAAACAATAACTTTGTATATGATCATCATCAAAGACATTTTTTTTTTTTAAAGCTTTACATTGCACTTTTCCTTTGGAAAATGTATATTTCTTTAGCTGTTTAGAATGGAAACATTGCATTTAGTGTATCTTTAAATAAAGAAGCAGCAAACTTGTCCGATGGGTTGGATATAGAAGATATTTCTGAAGCTATCTAACGGACAGACAATTCTTTTTTCTTCAAATGAAACCCTTATTATGTATTTATGCATTATTATTGGAAACTGTAAATGACTACTAGTACTTCTACTTGAATTGAAAATGAAAGATATGTGATAGTGCAACATTATGGCGAGCGAGATGGTATTTGACACAAACCAGAGGCATCCAAGGTATAACATACTGTGTGTAGAGAAAGGCATATCATCTGTATTATAATGTGCCTAAATACGACAAATTACAATGTGAGCATTTGGCCAGTTATGTGTATGAATGCATAAATATCAATACAGTCTGTAACATCAACTACTTTATAGGTAAGACAAGGTGCATTCTAATAAAGGGAATACATAGTGAGGATCAGATGTGGGATCAGTCCTTCCTCCACCCGTGAGGGTCAGAGTGATGGAGGAGCGGCTCCTCCTCTTCACACCGGCTCCATCAGCAGCTCCTCCATGTCCGACCCCTCCAGCTCCCTGAACGCAGCGTGAGAGCCGATCACAAACAGCGTCGCTCCTGAAGGGAGACGGGACAAAGTGAAAAGAGGAATGTGAAGCGGGAAAATAGCAGGAAGATTCTTGTTAGACAGAGAATTTCCATATTAGCAATTAAATTAAGGCAATTAACTGACTATGATGTTTAACCTAAAACCCTGCTCTGATGGAAAAACAGCCAAAAAATATCAGAAACCAAAACGAAAAACAACTATAACACGGAGACAGTCAGTATTTTATTCCAGGGGGCAGTATTTAATTTTACATAATTGCATTATACATGATAAATTGAAAAGCGGAATGTGAAGGGGGAAATAGCAGGAAGATTGTTGTTAGACAGAAAATGTCCATATGAACAATTACATTAAGGTAATGAACTGACACTATAACACTGAGACTTTGAGTATTTTATTCTACAGTACAGTATGTCCTTTTACATTATTCTATTCTACATGTAGCTAGTTTACTTACCCTTTTCAATTTAACCATTTGCACTATTTTATGTCTTTTGATCTTCTATGTCCTAAATATTTAGAATGTTGCACCTCTGCATTGTTAGAGCTACACTGATATTGTGCATATGACAATAAAGTCTTTCATTTTTTCATTGAATGTAACGGTGTAATATGATTGGATACTAGAATAATATTACACAAAACTTTGAATTCCAATAAATATCCCTGCATGCCCAGAAAATAACGAATGACAACACCAGCTAATGTAGTTTATCTCACCCAGAACCCAAAACACTGCGGCTCCGGCTCCAGCCAACCAGAACACAGGAAGGGAAACGGCTCCAGCCAGACCCATCTGGTGAGGGACGGTCAGCTGCTTGCCTGGTAGACAAAAGAAGTACAGATTTAGCAACATCAAAATACTGCCATTAATAACAAATATCTATGCGACACCTTATATTTTTTTATACTAGCTAGCACAAGACATGCATTTCATCTAGTACTAAACAAATGTAGTCATTCACCTGCCTGTTTAAAATTGTGCTGATGACTAAGGAGCACTTCATGTCCCTTTTAAAATATATTGAAAAAGCATTTTTGGTCGATGTGTTTGTTCTAAAATGTTGACTGAAATTAATTCCGAGAAAAATGCCTATTTTTGTGCATTTGACCTTTATTTCTATTGCATATTAACTGCAAGGAGGGCTCACTATTTGTAATGTTTGACTGTTCTTTTGTCGATTTTTGTGACAATGCTTATGCTGCTCTGTTGAGCCAGCTCACTCTTAATTTACCTAGTTAGGTAATATATATATATACACACACATATATATATATAAATATGTATAGGATATATATAGGAAAACATGTGGCACTTGACAAATTGCAACAACAACAAAAATGAACTGTACAGTAACAACATCAAGTGTTAAATATTTTAAATATTTGATATAATCTGGGAAGGGTGTTTTAGCAAACACTTTTGAGAATTTTGAGAATTCAGCATATGAGGCAGTTACATAATTAACAGACTGCAGCACAAAGCACACCTGACAGCTTCACTCACCGAGAATAACCAGTTTGGACTCCAGAGACTTGAGGTGGATGATGTAGAAGGCACCGACGAACACAGCCAAGGCAATCAGAAGCATGGGGGAGCTGATACTGAGGAGAGGGAACAGAAACATACAAATACATTCAGTGTTACTTTCAGCAGCATTTCTTTTGATTTGCATCGTACATGTTTTATGTATTTAACATTTCAATCTAATCCCACGCATATTGTTTTGTTTCTCGTTTCTAATATACCCTGTGACCAGGGGCCTCATTTATAAAGGGATATACGCTCAAAAAATGGCGTACGCCAGTTTCTACGCAATGTTTGCGATTTATAAAATACTAACTTGAAGGATACTAAAACGTGCGGTCCTCCACGCAAACTCTAACCCATGCGTACGCACTAAGCACAGAAACGGGAGAGACGAGGAACTGCGACACCGTTGGCAGAAGGAAGAATGGAGAGAAATATGTGGAAATAATACCATAAATAAAGTGTTACCTCTCATTTATCACATATGAAGAATACATTTTCACAAATTGATTAAAGACAATTTTAAAATGATTTAACAAACGCCTGTTTGAGACTCCTCAGTGCACACAAAAACACAACATGGAGAAATAAATAAATACGGATATGTTAGTGATCACCCCTCGATTATGTTCTCTTGTTAAGAAATGTTTTCTCATAAATGATGCGGTAAGCAGGAGGACAGAATTACGTCTAAACTGACGCCGTTTTGCATTTCTATAGGTTGTAGATACGAGCATGGTTTTATATATATGTTTAATACATGTTTAATCGTGTTTTATGCCGTTTGCCAAGACTTGATAAGTCGCTCGTAAAACACAGGAGGTATGGAAACTAAGAGCAACATATGTGGTCAATTGTACAGCTAATATAACACAGTACAGCTAATATAACACAACACATTAGTTGCATTTCCTTTAACTGGTGGATATAGAGTTGCTGCGGGGGGGTTGAGATGCGGGGGGGTTGAGATGCACAGGCTGCAGTGGAGAAGCTGCGCACAGCTGATCGACAGCTGGGACACAAACCACCAAATACAAAACATAATTCAGATCCAGTCGCCATGACTCCACTCCGGAGGGATTCCCCGATCATTTCTTAGAGTTTCTCATCAAGGGGGGGGTCTCCTGTCCCCGGTACAAACACACTGCCTGAGGAAGGCTATATATTTTTTGTCATTAACCTTTTGCGGACCACTTATTTATTTATTTTGGTGGCGATCCGACCTCCATGCTGCTACTCTGGTTCAAACTGCATCCACCAAACAATATGATTTATCTCGACCTCCCCAAAATAACCTAAATCTGACACGGTGTGAGATGTTTTTTTTAGCTGTCTGTCGTCATTTCCTGCGATCTTCTCCATGCAGTCATTCAAATGAATGAATGAATGAATGGGCGTTTCTTTGACTATTTATAGGCAAATATGGGCGTTACGTGAAGCCCGCAAATGCTGCACCGCATTTCGAGTCGATTGTGATTTATAAAAGGGAAACCGGCGTAGGAAGTGCTGTACGCACTTTCCTCACCGGTACGCAATGTTTGGTGAATTGGAAAATGTCGGAAAATATCTGTACCTATTTTTTGGATTTCTACTACGTAAGCAACCTTCCCACGTGAATCCTACGCACGGCGTTATAAATGAGGCCCCTGACCTTCATAGTTTCCCTTTATGGGACCGCCTCCTTATTAAAAAAACAGTTTTTAAGCATGCTTGATCTAAAATATACCTTTCTATATAAAACACAACCAACACGTTTCTATACCTAATCTACATATAGCTGTTGAACAGATTAGGGCTGGACAATTTGGGGAAATTATATATATTTGGGATTGTTTTGACTTATATTGCAAATGCAATGTTTTTTGGATATTAGAGGGATTCGCCCTTTTTGAAACATTACTCAAATGACATTAGGTGTTATTTTCGAAGAGGATCCATACCAAACAGGGAGTTTTTTTAATTAATTCTGTAGAATACCAGAAGTTCTCTGCAGCAGTGCAACATTTAATTCAGATTTCATATATTTAAAATACTGCACTTTGGATATTGCACTAGTGGTCCATATTGCCTATTTATTACAATTTTCAATGTATTGTGCAGCCTTAGTTGTATTTACAGCGCACAAAATAGCAAAGAAATAGTGAAGAAAATGCATTAATTATAATTTATGTACATATTTAATGTTCATTTTAAATAGGGTTCGGGTTGAAATAGAAATAATCAACTAGTCCACATTGCACTCAGGATAGAAGTGTAATTATTGTGCAGCCCTAATACTAGTAGCACAAAACATGAAACTATGCAATCACTGGACTTCCTGACATGTAACACACACAGCATTGGACACCACCAGCACTACACAGACACGCATTGGACACCACCAGCACTACACACACACACGTATTGGAATCCACCAGCACTACACAGACACGCATTGGACACCACCAGCACTACACAGACACGCATTGGACCCACCAGCACTATGCAACACCACTGTTCTTTCCTTTCTTTGATTTTTTTCTTCCCTTTTCCTTTTTTTCTTTCTTTCCTTGATTTTTTTCTTCTCTTTTCCTTTTCTTTCTTGCTTTCCTTGATTTTTTTCTTCCTTTTCCTTTTTTTTCTTTCTTTCCTTGCCTTTCTTTCTTGCTCCTGAGGAAGGCTATGTGTATTTTTTTTGTCATTAACCTTTTACGGACCACTTATTTATCTATTTTGGTGACGATCCGACCTCCATGCTGCTACTCTGGTTCAAACTGCATCCACCAAACAATATGATTTATCTCGACCTCCCCAAAATAACCTAAATCTGACACGGTGTGAGATGTTTTTTTTAGCTGTTCTGTCGTCATTTCCTGCGATCTTCTCCATGCAGTCATTCAAAATGAATGAATGAATGAATGGGCGTTT